TCTCCAGCATCATTTTTATATCACCAAGGCTGTATATTTCAACTACTGGTCCTTCCTTTTTGTTTCCAACCTTTGCATGCGTTCCAATCACCTGTAATAGTCAATACATCTTGATTGCATGCTTGATCAATTTGAGACTGAAGAAGTTGGTAGAATTGTTGAATTTCATCATCACTGGCTTTAGTAAATGGTGCATTAATTTGAACAATAATGGTATTAACGTATCTTCCTTGTCTTTGTTAAGTGCCATTGAGTCAATTTTGCCTCATAGTGACCCTGTACAGGGTTTCCAAGGAGCAGCTGGTAATTTTGATTCATTGACATTTTGGTTCCCAGTACAGTGCTAATCCTACAGTGCCACACCAATAGGTGTATGGATATTTTCCTATCACAGAGAGCATTATACTTTAAGATAGATCTTGAGATGTTCTTTTTGATGATGAATGTGACGTCATTCCTCTTCAACTTTTCATTCTTTGCATCGTAAACTATGTGATTGTTAGATTCAAAATGGCCAATGCCAGTCCATTTCAGCTCAGTAATGCCTAGGATATCGATCTTTATGCATTCCACTTCATTTTTGATAAGTTCCAATTTTTCTAGATTCATGCTCTGTACATTACATGTTTCAATTATTAATTGTTGCTTGCAGCTGTTTATTCTTTTTTTGAGTTTTGTCCCATCAGCACTGTAGTTCCTGAAAAGCTTACTCCATTCATGTCATCACTGTCAACTCTAATTTGAAGAGGCAGTTCTTCCCCAGTCATATTCTGAGTGCCTTCCAACCAGAGGGGCTTATCTTCTGACACTGAATCTGACAAAATGATGCTATTCATCATGTTTCAATGTTCAGTATTCTGGAGCTGACAAATAATTGTATATTAACCCATTTTTTAAGTGCCTTCAAGTCAGTTCTGACTCAGTATAGGGTTTCCAAGGAGCAGCTGATAGGTTTGAACCACCAACCTTTTTATGCATAGTCCAGTGCTGATCCTACAGTGCCACACCAGTCCATATATAACCACAAATGAAAATTGCCTTGGTATATTATTAATACATGACAGTACCTTCTCTGTCTGTTAAATGTTATTACTTGTCTAAATAATTATTGTGACAGATGAGAGCAAGAGATATGATTTAAAAGGGTCATTCTTTAGTGAGCCTCATTTTCCTTTGTTTTTGTGCCATTTTGTGTACATTTCCTACTAAATTCATATTGCTGTTGTTGTTAAGTCCTGTTGAGCTGGCTCTGACTTATAGAGACCCTATGTAGGGTTTCCAAGGAATGGCTGGTGAGTTTGAACTGCCAACCTTGCAGTTCAAACTGACCTTATGATTGAATGCTTATCCTACAGTGCCACACCAGGACTCCAAATTCATATAGGTTGAGATTTAGAGAAAAAACAAACAGGATAGCCAGGATGAATTGGTGGAGCACGGGGTACATTTCGGACAGTGGAATTATACTATATGATATTATAATAGCATGACTTTATGCATTTGGTATAGCCCACCTAGGGTGTAACACAAAGAGTGATCCCTAATAGTAAACTTTGGACCTTAGTTAATATCAGTAGTGGTTCATCATTTGTAATAAATGTAGCACATGAATACAAGAGGTTAATAATAAGATAAACTATACAGGGGAAGACAGGATATATGGAAGCTCTCTGTACTTTGGCACAATTTTTCTGTAAATTGAAAACTACTTTTAAAGATAAAAATCTATATAAAAATATAATAGGTACAAACTTTTTATCTCCTGGCGGTCTTAGACACTCTTGAAGTTAATAGTTAACAAGAGTAGTATTTTTAAAGGGAGTATGGCATGCTTACAAATGAGATCAATACACCACAAATAATATCAGGAGAGCATGTCATAAAACACTACAGTGTGGGAGAGAATTGTCATAAATTAGACTCCTCATACAAATATTACCAATGATGTTATAGAAATTGAGGTTAGATATGGAATAGGTTAGGGTAGATGATTTCACATCTGGTGGGCCTAAAGGAATCTTCACTGGAGTGTTCAAGGACATGTTCTCTGAAATTTCTGCACTATTAACAATTATATATATGGACTTCCTGCAAACTGGAATGACTGCAAATAATGGAAAAAGTCAAGAATACTATTCAATTTTTAATGGAAAGGGGAGGAATTGAGGGATCACAGTCTGTTTAGTCTGCTTCTTTAAAATACTATGGCATTAATATTTTAAAATGAAACAACAACCAAAATAAAAGAAAAACCCACAATACACAGGTGCACAGAGGTAGTCAAGGATCTATCATCTAGCACGGGTTTATGAAAAGCAATCATGCCAAACTTACTCTGCATCTTAAAAAAATAAGTAGGAAAAAGGAATAATAATAGGTTTGGTTATCTATATCATTGCTGACCCTATGCACAATTGTGATTTAGGAAAAATGCAATAATCTGTTCCAGGCTTTGTTTAATATATTCAGAGTATTCATGCAATTGTATTTGCTACATGAATTACAATTTCAAATTCTGATTGATTCACTTATCATTTCATCACAAACTCCTTTTAAGCTATGTGATCAGGTAATCTAAACTAGGTTGAGTTACAAGCA